AAAAAAAAAAAAAAAAAAAAAAAAAAAAAAAAAGAACGAATGGTATCAACGATTAGTGTGCAAAATAGTTGAATGATTACTCTTTTCTCACTTCTGACAATTTATAGTGCACATGACGTGCGTCCCTTTTTTTTGTGTATTATGTTAGATGAAAAACGAGTTGGATTTTTTTAGTTTCTTCAATTTTTTCAAATTTTTTGTTTTCAAAGAACTATGGATGGCATTTCTGGGGAGTGACTGAAAAGAGGGAGGAGATGGGAAAGGATGGGTCAAATTTCATGTTACTTTAGATTTGCTCAGTAAATTAGTCTGTAATTTGTTAACAGTTGTCTTTATATGTTTATCGGTAATGAATAATTTACCACTTAATTTCTGTTTTCTTTTCGTTTTATCAATTTTTTAGTTTCAAGCCTTTTTAATATTTGTTTAATGTACAATTTATTACTTAGATTCCGGATAACTGTAGAAGTTTCTGGCCGGACACAACTACTTAGGCAATTTGTTTTTTTTTTTTTAAATTTCGTGACTTTTTTTCAGAAAAAATTATCTGTCTTGCTAAGAGCAGTGATAAGATTAACATTGCATTTTGAAGTTTAGAGCTATCTAAAATTTTTAGCATTTTTATTGTCTCAAGCAGTCTTTGTCTATCAGTTATTGTTAGTAGTTCAGATTTTTTTGATAATTTGGATGTTTTATTTTCAAATTATAAAAAACTTTTTTGATTTCAATTTAGTTACGTTTTTGACATTTGTTTAGCCTTTTACCGATGATAATATTGAGTGAATTATTTTGATTATTTCTTGTCCATTTTTCTCACCATCTAACTGTCATTTTTCAATTGGCTTTTTCCTGTGTTTTAAGGGAAGGAGGGGGAAAGGGGAAGGGAGAGAAGATAAAATAACTTTTTTTGTCTGGATGTTACAGTTCGCAAACTTTAGTTTTCAAAGAAGATTCAGCCATATGCTTCTCTAAACAATACCTATTTATTTGTTTCATTTTTATTTCACTTTTTTTTTTTTTAAATTGTTAATATCAATGCCGACTAATTGATATTCAGTTCGTCCTGTTGATCGAAATGCTTTGGGTTATTTATATCATCGTACGCATCGTTTTCTACGGTCCGTAGGATCTAACCAGTTTTATCAGCAGTATCACCAAAAAACATCACTATCATCATTATCATCTTCATCACTGTCAACAACAGCAGCATTCTCATCATCATCAGCTTTTGGCAGAAACGATGAAGAAAACAGCACGCTGATACAGAGCGCCAATGATACTGAACGTGAGTAACTCCGAATAAATAAGCCTGATATATCTGCTTGACGAGTTTGAAGCATGTGACGCTGTGATGATGATGCATCATCTTTTTCACTCTGTGTGCTTGTTTTTGCTATTAACTTTCGTAAAAAGCTGTCCTGATATTTCCAGCACTTTTCCACCGGAAACTCTTTTACAGTGAAGACTTTCCTCATCATACGCCACTTGACTTTTGGTTGCTCCATACCATTGTAGCTGCCTGCAGTACTGCATCAATCGGCCTAACAGTCTGATGAAACGGAAATAACTTAATTTGATATGCTGTTTGCAAATCTGTACAATTATTGCATGCATTCCAACTGCTTACATTCGTTCGTCATCATTAACTCACTGTACCTGTTTGCAGTGCATTTTCGACTTTTAATTTCGTTTTGTTGCAAAGGACTTCCTGTTCGTTTGCAAAATTCTTTGAAGTGACGTGAGTATGCAGGAAAAAACTAATACTTTTAATGGCGAATGTTGCCTTGGTAGTGCTTTTTTTCTTTTTGCAATTTGCAATTGGCTTTTTTAGTTTATTTTGTTTTATTTTTTTGCTTTTTTTTCTTTATTTTTACTCAGTTATTTATTTTTTGAAAATAACTTCGCATTAAGTTTTTTTTTTTTAAATTGTATTACTTAGTGCCAATGAATGACGTGTTTGATGGATCACTCAATCTTTTTGTTACACAACAGATTTTCTGCATAACTTTCATTTTTTTTCTTTGAACTGATCATGGCAGAAAACATGCTGTAATCTGAAACCACCAGAAGTTTGCGTAGTGTACAGGAGTTTTTGAACATTGCCATGATGTACAGAAAGCATGGTGCTTTTTTTTGTGATTTTATGGTTTTCTTGATTCAGGATCGTTTTTTTAAAGGTTTTTTGATATTCTTGACATGTCTACAATGCAAAGCATGGTTTTGTGGGTGCATTAGAAACAATTATTATCATTATTATTAATACTACTATTATCGATATTACTATTGTTGTTAATTACTGTCCTTTATGAATTTTGTATTGTTTATTGGAAAATTCATTTGTTTCAAATTGTTTCGAATGTTTACGCGCTGCACGCAAAGCTTACTTTCTTTTTGGCTGCATGAGAATTTTTTTTCTGACATCTCATAGGATGTTTATATCAGTTATATTATTCATTTCTTCATTTCTTTGTTTTTTTGCAGAACTAAGATTGATACATCATTTGGAAGTGGAATCCAATGCATCTTGCGCAAAGATATTATGGGAACAGGCGACTGACGTTGTTTCGCATGTTGAATTACGGTTAGTGCGTCGGAAATAAGTTATAGCTTTGTTTTTTTATAAATTTGATGAATATCGGTTGCCATAGGAAAGTAACAACTGTATAATTACTTGGATATTTTCCTCTTCAGTTATTACCCATTAATTTATTTAGACGTATCAGCAGTACTGGTATTGTGCCCGTGTGGTCACAACACTGTACCTGGCTAGATTTTAGTTTTTTGTATCGCTTGTATTAGACTAATTAATGTTTGCTTGTCAATTTTTTTGGATGATCACATGGCTGAGATTGTTTTGCTGTGTAGACTCTTCAGTATCATATATTATTTCATTTTATTTAAAAGTAGTACTTTTTTTTTGCAGCTTATTTTTTGATAGTTCTGTATTTTTAGTTTGGTTCGGCAATCACATTCCGGTGATACGGAGGTGTGGAAAGATCTTAATGCTGTTTCCGGAATGGTTGTCTGTGACTTGACGTCGGATACGCTTTATGCTTTGAAAATAAGCGCAGTAGGATGGGAGAATGATACGATGAATAACACCGTTCATTTTTTTACCTTAGAAAGCAGTAATTTTGAACTGTTGAATGTCGCACAGTTACAAGCATTTATCTTAGCGATTAGCCGGTTTGTAAGATAAAAGTCTAATTTTCAGAACCAGGTCCTCCAACGCCACGTACAATATCACTTTCACATTCTGGTACCGCGAGTTTTTGTCATTTACACTGGACACCACCGGAAATGAGGAATGGGCGTATTACTAAATATTATGTAGGTTTTTGTGTGCTACATTTCTTTATTATTACTGTGATTTCTAACTTTTTAAAACTATAATTATATCGTTTTTTACACTGTAATTGAATGTTCTCAGAAATTTTATTTTGATAGTGGTTTTGTTACGCAGTTGTTCTGCGTTTACCTCTTGCAGTTCTAAGCCTTTAACAGCTAATTTCTATGTGTTGAAGATATCTCTAAGAGGTGCAGTCAGAAGTTCCCCACCAGGAATTTTGATTGGTGATGATTTTCCCACTGCACAAGAATTAGCATGTGCTAATGATGATGGAAAATTTATGCATCCAATTAATGCTGAATTGTTTTCGGATACTTACCTTTGTAAGTTTGGACCGTTGAAGGTACGCATGGTACAAATATTTTTTTCAAATAGTATACTTTAAATGCTTCTAGCTGGCAGAAGATTTTTTTCTCTGCAGTATATTTTTTTGCGTGATAACTTGGTCGCTATTTTTAGCCTAATCGTAATTATACTGCAACTGTGTGGGCTGAAAATAAGGCTGGCAGAAGTATTGCAGCTAATTTTACTGGAAGTTGTGTGACACCGTACGGCAGGCCAGATAGCGTTGTTGCCCCTACCGTATCTTCCGGAAATACCACTTCGTTTGAACTTAAGTTTGATCATGAACAGGATGAGGCAAATGGACCCATAGTGTTAGTGTCAATTATTCATTTCTTGGCAATATTCTATCTCCAATAAGTGGTTAATTTTTTATATTGTTAGTGGTTAAAAACTTCTATTTCAGCTGCTTTTATTTGGCAATAGTACCTCTACTGGAAAGTGTCTCAATCGATAGCTTACCACAGCCAGATTCGCTGCCGTGCGATATGTTTAATCAGGCGATGAGTAATAATGTAAGTACATGTCTCCCAAAAAGAATTTTTTCAGCATAAAATAGTTTTTGTGATGTAGTACTTTTTGAAGGTTGATAGTTCGCAAAAGCAGGTTTATTTTGCCTATATCGCTGAAAGTTATGCAAGGTATCCAAACAGTACAGTGGTTGGTGACGGTAATCCATCCGGAGACATCGAACCGTGTAAAGTGCCGTCAGTTTTTATTTCTTTCTACCAATAGTTTAGTTATTGGTGGTTATGCTAAAATCCTGGTATTTAATTATTAGGAGAGTTTTTTTCAGTTTTTGGGGCTAACACTTATTGTTCGACTTATTTCCGGGTTGTAGGATAAATCTTTTGCAATTAATGGATTTTTTTTCTTATATCTTATACTTTCCAGCTGCTTGTACAGAGTTCTCAAAACTTAAAATATTTTAGTTATCATTGCCGCTAATGAGGCCATTTTGATCTTTAATGTATATCATTTTTAGTTATCTAAGCAGATACCGTGCGGAAGATATGCCATTGAGGCCACATGTGAAATATACTGGTTTTTTAATTGCTCGTGTTGAGAAAAATATTGGCGACCAAAAAACTGTTTTGAAGCATTCATCGAGCACAGATGAAAGAAAGTTTGTAGCTTTGCAACTTTTTTACATTTGTAGATTATTGTATTATATTCTTGTCCACTTTTCTTGCTTTTTGTCTTTTGCTCACTTTTTTTCTTAACTTTCATCTCTTCTTGTGGTTTCTTACTTTTTTCTTTCAAGAAAACGGAGGATGAGGAAAAAGGTTAAGCGATATTCTTCATTTTTTTATCACTCAACTGAAAAGATAAGTGGTGGCCCTCAAAGCGCTTCAAGAATGAGTGGTTCTATAAAGCCGGTATTCAGCCACGGGCCAGAATATGCTTATAGCGCTTATTTCAAACCGATTATACTGAAGTCAGACATTGGTAAAGTTTTATGCAAAGAATATTATTTTCTCAGATGCAAAGAATATTATTTTATTATCCATGCAAAGAATATTATTTTCTCAGATGTCTGGTTGTATTATTTGTTAATTTTTTTAGGTAATTCTGGAGTTTCATTTATTATTTTGTGTATCGTCCTACTTGCAGTGTTTTTTATGGTCGCAGTAACTGTTGGGATTCTATTTATGTATCGGTAATCATTGTTTTAACAGATACTGTTACGCTGTTCATAAATGACAATTGGTTAATTATTTTTTTAGTCGTGGTTACATTAACGGAGTCTTTGCTAAAAAGGAGGATCCTCTTTATGTACACTTCCGCCGTAACTTTGGTTCTATTCCAATACCGGTTTCGGAGCTGCTGAAAGCTTATAGGTCACGCAGCCGTGATTCCGACATGGGTTTTGAT